ATCCCGAGCCCCGGCTGTGCGTGAATAAATTAATAGAGATTAAATCCTGTTGTGTACGTATATCACTTGTTAGCTTTGAAGCTTTACGTGGAAGTAATTAAACATGCTGTGAACCTACGTAAGTATATTATTACATATTCCAGTGCTTTGAATACTGCTGCCTATATTAACGTGTACACTCAGAGCATATCGATACGTACAACTTTTCCAAACTATTGTGTAATATTATTTGAATCAGAAGCGGGATTAAAATTGGTAGATCGGGTTATCAGCACATATAAACTGCTGCTGACCACTTCACCCAAAAGCGTACTATATCTATCGACTATAAATAACTTTAAAATGTTGATACGCTGGAAGTCTGAAATATTAAAAAAATAACACTTCCATATATACATAGTTAATTCTAGCAGAGATGCAGTTCAATTTCTGTTCTTCGAGCTATTAGGTTGAACTTTTCTCATCAGTGAGCACCCTACGAGTACGGAGCAAGTTAGTACCCGCGAGGCAACATTTTAGACTAAATTAAGTGCACTTAATCGCCGGCCGCGCATGCGCGTTGCCCCTGGTGCACAATTTGCCCGCACTGCCCGAGCCCCGAACCCCAAACCCGTATTATATACACTTTTTATTACACCTATCCTCTGCAAATTGCATTCAACTTACTTTAATTGATTCAGCTTTCCAAACTTCAATGGAATTGAGTACTTTAATATAAAGTTTGTTTCTACGCTTAGTGTCTCATAATCAAAGCTGTCTTATTAATATTTTTAATTTAAACATAGAAGTCATGAATAATTGAACTTTAAACGTAATTAAATTTTTCACACATAAGGCGATTTGGAATAATGACTAATGTATAATAGTATGTAGATTGTTAGAAAACGTATTCCCCTCAGCTCCAGTCCCTAAGAAAATACACAAAAATGTTACAATTATTATAAGACAGATAACTAAATGTGCTTTATACTGTATGTATGAATATAAAAAGCATTTAAATAAAACACTTTAACGGTTTAAAACGCGATATATTGGTTATACTTATTTGAAAATGATTTTTAACTTTGGCCCGGCGTATCGGATGCTTTGCAGCAGCCGTGGTCACGGGGAGACACGGCTGCTGCAAAGCATCCGATTCTTAAATAAGTTTAACTAATATATCGCGTTTTAAACCGTTAAAGTGTTTTATTTAAATGTGTACTACTCGCGTAAACTATAGACAGTATAAAAAGCATTTAATTTTGTAAATAAGATGCAAGCTTTTAATAACACACTTAACCTCACCTAAACCAAGTTTTGACGCAAAAACTCACAAAGGCAAGTAACGACTGCGTAAAGAAATAAATACACAGGTAAAAATAAAACCTGTGTAGGTGGCTAATTATAAAGTGCTTTGCCGTTTTTTTTATATCTAACAGCTGTTGTTTCTTTTAAGTTAACTTGTTGATTTCTTCTAGGCGAAACACTAGTATATGCAAACGGTCTTACTATATATATAGGTATTAGAATTTGATTTATTCAGATTGTGTATCTAATTGATGTCTTGGATTGTATATTTTTTTTGAGCAAATTTATCTCTGAGTCGACGGTTTGTTGAATTCATTTTCAGTTTTTAATCTTATCATTTATTTCCTCAACATAGCGGACGTGCAGGCTTTGTTTTGTAGTATTGTCGTATTGAGTACAGATATTAAGTATTCTAACGCTCGTTTGCTGCTTAATTGCTGTCAGCGTCGACTTCCGCTTTTCGTTCCTTTTTCGATAATATTTATTGTACTGCATCGATCGACGCCGTCTGAGCACTCGCCCTCGCGTAATTGTAGTGTCTCCGTCCTCGTGAAATATTTCGGCGTTTGTCGCGCGGATTGGCTTCGTTAAGCGAGCGCGCTTGTTTATTTTCAATAAGCTAACGAACGTATGTCATAACAGTTGCGTCGACACTCGTTTCCTATAGACGCCCACTCCGCCGTATTTATTTTCCTTTAAAACGGCCGCTTTTAGTTCTTTGTGGGTGATTCCTTCACAATGGCTCTCATTATTCGGGCCGCGGCGAAGGAACGAAACAGATGTACGGCGGTTTCGCGGCTCGAAGAATACTCACGAACGGTGCGATCGATAGCTCCCGTCTTTTGTGTGAGCCGTCAAGGCCCGTCTATGGCCCACATCTGCCTTCTGAGGTTGTTGATATGCTGTACAGCGTAATAGTGATCGATTGCGCACTGATTCTTTACGGCTCCAGCCTATTATGTCGAGAGGAAACCGATTTGTTGAACGTCGATTTGTCGAATCAGCAGAGTATACGTATGTTATATTTAACTGCTTCGTGGCCCCTTCATGTCAGAGACAAGCCACATTTTAATATGTCTACCTAATAATTACTTTAAAACACTTAATGCTTTTTGCACTGCCAAGTTGCATTTAAAAAAGCATGTACGTATAAGAAAATTCTTGATAACTAAGGATTGAGGAAGTACTTAGACGTATAACGGTCGAAGAACAAAGAAAGTGGCGTGATTACAGGCACTGTAGTGGTTCGTGTTAGCGTTCGGCGTAGAGGCTACATTTGATTGACATGCGCGGGCGCAGATAACGCGGCTCCCGGCTGACGCGACGCGTGCGTGCGCGCCGCTAGCTAAACGGACGTGCTCAAATTATGTATACTTATGAGAAACCATGTTTTGTTGTGGTCTTCTCGGTATTACGTTTTCAGTTACATCACGCAATACAAAATTTTAGTTTACATTTCTGAAAGAGTCCCTATCGCTTTAAAATATTTTTTTGTGAAAAAGACCGAGTATTTGAGACAAAACTGACGGGCTCCTTGGTGTTATGGTAGCGATTTATGGCAAATAATACGGGTTGTGGATTCGTTCCCCACCGGGTCCAACATTATTCTAATCACTTTATAATTTTTCTCAAACATGTGGGGCTTCATCTGGAAATCTGGATATGGGTGGTTCTTCTACAGATGGAAGCCTGTGGATTTCTGCATATTCAAATCCAAAAAGATCGACAGCATATCTTGTTTATACAACTTCATGCTTCTCGGTCCTTCTTTATCATAAAAAACTTAAAAAAGTGAACAGTAAATCAAAGTTTTTAAATATATTTATTTCTTATGAGAATTAAGTAAACAGATTTTACAGTGTCAACAACACTGCCCAAAATAAGAAATAATGCGGATTGTTATAAAAATTACACACGACGTTTTACTCTTTTTAATCTCTGCAGTACATTCTCAACAATGACAACTAAAAAAAGAAAAAATCCACACCCGGCTATAAAAATGGAACCCTTTGTTAATCTACCCCCGCACGCGGTTACCTATACTCTTTTTTCCCTTAACTTAAACCGTTAAATGCTATGAATTCGATAAAAGCTTCGATCGCTATCACACGTTGAAAGACCATATGCGTGGGATGGAAAAACTTATCGTCCCGGGATGAATATGGATGTTTGTTGGGAATCTCGCTTTGAGTTGACTATTGAATTATTTTTTTTTAACGGTGCTACTACAGATAAGGCGAATGCGAATTAAATTATGTACAGTTACACGCATAATTGACAAGACAAGATACCATCTTTCGTCATTTCCAACATTTTAGAATATCTATACTAATATATAAAGCTGAAGAGTTTGTTAGTTTATTTGAACGCACTCATCTCAGGAAGTACTGGTTCGAATTTAAAAAAAATATTTTTTTTGTTGGTAAATGTAAAAAAAAATGGGGAGATTATTCATCATTGTAGGTTTCCGATACGTACGCTGTAGTAACAGCTCAAGATACCCAGAAAATATGTAGGTAAAATTATTTCTCTAAGTTATAAAAAAAAATGTCCACCTCACTATGTGTCTATCTTATAAGATTAACTTGTAATGACGACTGGACGCGACCGACGTCGTCGTGGTCGTCGTCGACCACGATGCCAGCTAGTTTAAAATATGTAGTCCATGTATCCGAAACAGTTGTAGTGGGTTATTTGAGGTAAAGGTAATTCGGTGAGTCCTCACGTTCTTCCAGGGACCCCGAAACCGCTGCCCATCAGGTAGGATCGAGGTGGAATGACTATTGACTCGTAGACGGAATAATTTTTGTTGCATTATTTCTTCGGCAAAAATACACGATACGGATCGGTACAAATCGATATTTTATAATATAGACATCGCAGGTGAGCATAGGCGTAGCCTTTACAGCAGATGTTCCTTAAAGGAAATTAAATAAAACTAGTCAAGATGATCATCCATTACATTGATGATTCACGCCACGCCTACGTTACAGCAGTTGCAGCTTATAATAATAAAATCTGACGTTTAACCATGATCGACCATCGGGCATCCCGCATATCCTTTTGTACCTTAATCTATTTCAGTTTACTTTTTATGTGAAAGACTAACCGAATCCGATTTTACCGATTCTTGTATAAAACACACGATAGTATTGTTTTTGCTGAGTATAAAATACACAAATTCTGCGGTTCCACACTATTGCATTACTAGTGACCTGAAATGTTGAGGCTTGCTTCATCACACAGCATCGCGGGTAACCAATGTTTTTGTTACGTATAAGATTCGACGGAATTCATCATGCGTGCTGCCACTTAGTACCTGTTAAAATATTTGTTCGAGGTTGCAGTGTTTACGTTGTCTAATGCCGTGGGGATCTCGACCGGTGCCCGAAGCTATTTGAATATTAATATGACGGTATATTCGTTCGGATGTAGCGTATCGCGCATACATTATCCGCTAAAAGCTTATAAATCGAATTGGTCTCGTGCACGGTTTCCGTATTTATGAAGGAGATTAACAGCCTCGTTCGGTTTTCGGAGCACAGGTACGATGATACGTATGACACAAGTTGTTGAGCATAATTTTATTTTCTTGGGTGAGTTTGAGGGTTACATTTAGTAAAACACGTACGATTGTGCGACATATGTCTCGCAGTAAAACTGTAACGTTTGTTTTTTTACAACAAAACTAAACTTCGTAACTTACGGCAAAAATGTTTTATGAGCAACAACTGCAATTGTCGATAACGACGGCCCATCTCTCACTTCCGCTCCTCGGTTACCGCCAAAAATCCTTTGATAAATTACTATTTCATCTTTGGATTTGGAGTTTCTCGCGAAACTTTCACGTTCCCCCTCGTTTTTCGGGCGCGGTCCGTGGGAGCGATAATCCTCGGCTACAGCCGGAGCTCGGCGCAGGGGCCGGACAATCGCAGGGGGTTTTTAATTTGGCGGCCGCCCGCTGTGAATGGATTATCAGTGCGGAGTTGCAATTAGTCAGTCGTGTTGTGGTCGTCGCCGTCGTTTCCCGTAAAACGTTGGATGAACCCGCCGACGACGCTGCATTTAGATTATTCAAGAACGATTTTGGATCAACGTTTGTCGCTCAACGCGCATCGCTCTCGTTTTTAGCGTTTACCTTATCCAGTGTTATCAAGTCTAGATCATCATACAATACTTTCTAAATGCTGTATGTATATTACCTTTATGACGATGTATTTAGGAACAAAGCACTCGCAAAGTTCATAATTTCGCCTAAGTTTATTGGGCGTCCCGGCAGGTAGGTACACTAGCTAATAACAAACTATCCAGCGCGACGATAAGAGTGGGTTTAAATTAAATACCTAATTATGTCGAAGGTTGCTGCTATGCGCTTAAGCGGGTTTATCAAATGGGGCCGTGGTACCTATATGCTCGTAAATAGCTGAAACATCAAAGCTAGTCGCCTCATGGGAATGTCGCAGGGTTTAACTCGTTTAGCCCATTATTTTTGTTCGTTTATGTTTGACTTGGCGGTGGCGATGGCGACGCTTGTTATCGGATTATTTTCGCTTTTATTGCATCATCTAAGTACAATTCTGTATGTAGTAATAAATAGATCATGTTCCTATGCGCGTTTTACTGAAACATAATATATCAAAGAAATGCACTAATATACTTACAAAAGTACTTGCCGGTGCGAAGGTACTAAGTCGGTGACGTAAAAAATGTAAATGCAACGTGCGTAGTAAACACTCTTGATGCCAAAGTAAACAATAGTCGTGCAATTTTTACTATAAACGTATTAGCCATTGAACACGTCACCGGCCATTCAATGCGATAACATGTGTTCCTATCCTAACATTGCAACAATTGTTATGCAAATCGCTGAGATTGCTATTAATAATACTTTGCGAATCGCGCGATCGATAAGAGCCATCTGTCCTAATCACGTGTAGATGTGTGTCCCGTTTTTGTAAAGATGGCAATGTTTTGGCCATGTTTCCTTCAAGTTAGGATATTAACAAAACAAATGGTTTTATTTCTTTATTTGAGATGGGAATGTTTATAAAAGGGCTAAAAATAGTTGAGTACAATAGTTTATATGACACGTTGAAAAACACGTTTCACGTTATCATTTATTACTTCTTATATGTACCTACTATGAATAAAGGTTAGCTAGTTTGCTATTTAAGCAATAATATAATAGAAAGTAATTTATAATTGATTTACCCCATTTCTCCAACCATCCCACGCCCTAACGCCATAAATAAATATTACGAAACTCGCCCTTTGAGAATAGTTTAAAATGTTGACCTATAGACGCAAGAACAACTTTTCGCTATTAGAGCACGCAGTTTATAAATATTGCACACAATAAACTCCCCACCAGAGCATCGAAGCTCAATATAACATTAATGAGGAACTCACAACAATGGCATTTAATTTCAAACTAAAAGACTTTATCTGATAATTTCATCTGAAATTCGTGTCGCTAACGCGACGCAATAAAGTTCGCTTTCGCTTACATGCTTATCGACGTATGAGGGTAGCTTGCAAGTATGGCCTCGGGGTAGCACGTGCGTTCAATATTACCCAAATAAATATCGTCTTCCATAGTTTAATGCCGCCAATTTCATATTAAAATGATCCAATTAAAATGGTTTGTTTGTTATGGTAGATGTGGTACAGACAAAGTTAGATTAGTTGGTCAAATACTTTAAAAAACTTTATTAAAAATTTATCTTTTTATCTACTGCACTTAAATTTTGTATATATTCTGTGTCTGACCAGACTTAGTATCGTAAATCAGAAACAATACTAAGCAGTTAGTTGGCACTGAGCCACGCAATGCACCGAGACAGTCTATTTTCTGACACTAAACTTTTTCTTCGCTTTGAGACCTTCGAGTACCTAAGAGATTTTCATGTTAATTTTAAAACATCCGAATGGACATTATGTTACGAAAAGTGTTAGACAAAACTATCTGTTTATGACAGGGGTTTAGTTATTTGTATTAATCTGTAGGTTACTTACAAAAGTTTCTTAAACTTAAGTCCAAATGCAGTCTGAGCTATTACAAATCTAGGCACAAACACAGCATCGTGTTCTAATCAGACATCAGGCGAATTAGCATAATCGGAGATGAGCGCACGTGCTCACCACGCGCCCGGGTTTCATTCAAAACTACTCCCTAAAAGTCTAAATCGTCCTTTGTCCGTCTGCACGATTGATCCATTCTCATGTCACATGACGTGCTCTTCGCAAATAAAGGGTCCTATCGATTTTTAAATACTGCCATTGTTGTTTATGCAAATTGGTTAAGAAGTGTGCTAGCTCAAAACTATTGTGGTACGATGTTTATTGAAAGAAGAATTATACTTCTCCTTTAAGTTTCAGTTCAAAGCATTTCACTTGAAGGGACGGAATATTAATCGTTCCACTGTAATCAGGAAATGAAAAATTATATATTTTTTTGTGTTTAGAAGTCCTCAAAATCCACAACCAAACATTGTTTCTCTGTTTAAAGCTATGCCCATTATCTTGGTAAAACTTAATGGTCGGAAACATCAATTTAATCGTAGCAATATATGTTTCAAGTAAAAATGAGTTCAATTTCATTCCGTTTAAATGATCGCGTGATAAGTAGGCAAGTGTTAATTAAAGGGTTTATTGCTTCCGTCAATTAGGGAAATTCTGCTGGCTCGGACACTTGTCGCTAATAACAGATATATTTTATTTAACACTTTTTTATGGTGCATTAATAAACCATTTTATTGGTATATTAAACTAGCAGTTGGATGTGTTAAGTGTGTCATTATTGATTTGATCAATGTGTAAATCGAAGATAAGAGTTATTAATCAACTTCGCTGCCCAATGGACTAAATACCATATATTGCATAGATGCACTCTGTAATGTTTATGAACCTTATTTTACATTGCAATTACCGCTTACATTATTAATCTTGTATTTAACTGTCAAACGCATCACGATTAAAATGTCACGCGTATATCTTGTCCTCTTGCGACAGGTGTCCGGTGACACGTCGATTAGAAACTCCATAATATTCTTAGAAGTTCGACCTAACAAACTGCAACTCAAAGGCTAATGTTTATTAATAAAGAACGTAAACGATCGCGAGTTATCGCTACAAGTTCGTGGATACAGCTTTATTCACTATTCCAACGGATTTACAAGTATTATCTGAATTTATGAATGCATAAACCGGTAAGAAATTCACATTTGTCAGCCGCTCGTGAGGCTCGAACGCGCTCTGTTACCGCTACGGCGAACCGCTCAGGTGGTCACAATTCCTCAAGTCTTTGAAGCGAAAAACAGCGTTCAAATGTATATCCTAGATGCTAGATTCGCTCGCTGGCTGTGTAGTACCGTGCGCAGAAAGGCAGACTGTCGCGATGTTTGCTCAAGGACTCGGCAGTTGTAAGTCTCTTGTTTCGTTCGAAGTGTCCTACTTACGAGGATTATGTAGGAAACGTACGAGATATATTGTCGCGAATTAATAGACGCGCTGCTTCCCCGTCGCTAAAAGTAGTGTTCCTCAAATGTTCAGTTTGAGTAATGTGCCTTTCACGCTTTTCCGTCACTTTCAAAACAATATCTTTCAAATAGGCAACGTCTATTAATCAGAAGTTTTCGGAACATTGAGACTATCTTTGATTTGTTGATATTTTGTATTATTGTAAATTACCATCGTAATTTTTTCCTAATGTTGTTTTGTTTTCTAACTCTATACCCAAATAATACCAATGTTTACAGGCCTTTAATAACATTTAATTGAACATGTGTTTGTAGTAGTAACGTTATTTTAGTCGGGTTGTAAGCGACAGAAGATATTCCGGTCCTACTCTTTGTTTGTCCACACTACGCCACTACACATGAAGCAACGTTTTATAATCTAGCAGCAGGCTAAATTAAAATGTTGTTTCTCGGTGTAAAAAGAGCATTATGTGCTCCCGATCGAGTGTAAAAATCTGTGAGCATTGACGTTCCGCGCGAATATTTCGGGAACAGACGCAATGGCCCGTGGCGGTTATAATGTGCCCTGGGAGCCGGGGCTGCGACCCCTCCCGGCTCGTTCACACTACGCCCCTTTTTTCACTGCGCTTTCCGTAGATATATAGAAGGCCTAAGGCCTATATAGGAGACGCTAAAATCGTGATGTTTGTGAATCAAAGTTTCACATTTTTTTATATTTGTCATAAAAATTACGTTTCAATGAATTACTTAAAAGTGTAAATTATTTTAATAAGTTGGCTAACGGCTTGGACAAACTGATATTTATTACAGGGGAAATATATTTTCATTTTATGCATTTACAGTTTATTACTGTCGTAAATTAATAGTGCATTAAGCGGCCTTCGCTGCATATGGAGCTTTTGCGGAGACCTATTATTACATGTTTTCAGTTTTTAATAACAAATATATTATTTATATTTCAAATGGATCAGAGACAGTAATGAGATCTTTACAAATAATTTATTTGTTTAAAACGACTTTGTTACGTAGACGTCTTTCTTCATAATCCTTTGAACTGATTTTTATCGAGAAGACGGGGGAACGTTGAAATTGTAGACATAGCCATTTCAATTTTGAACGATTTGATTCAGCTTATTGTAAATGCATATAGCCTGACTTATGTTTTAAAATCTAATATGAACATACACTAACTAACGTAACTTTCAAATAGTATTTCGATGAGAGTAAAGCTTTTTGAGTCAACGGTATCTGTACATTTTGAGAACTGTTCCGCTAAATTAAAATCAAGTTTTAAAAATCGCGAAAGGCGAACTGTGTCGCATCTAGTACCCATAACTCTATGTACCCCGCTGTAGGTTAGCAGAGCGGAGGACAAGGCGGGGCACGCACTATCGATCACTTGTCACTGATTGATACTGCTCTCGATATTATTAATTGCTATTTACTACCGCAGTGCATCAACCTTGAATACTCATACAACAACATATAAGTACAAAACTGAGCAATTATTGTGGATTATTTTGTCTGAATTCACTAGAAGCCTATTTTCAACTTAATATACAACTGTCACACGGCGACACTTTTTTCCTAGACTGGCTGCTTTAAGTTAGTGTAAATGAAATGGTAGTATATTTGGTAGTAGTGGACTAACTGTATAAATATTTTATGACACCCATATAGGACCTAGGAATACATCTTCTGAAAAT